TAAAAAAAAAACTTGATCTGATCTATATTTTAAATTATTCATAGTATTTAAGTTATTTCTGTAAATAAGTTATTTAAGTAATTTATTATTTAAGTTATTTAGTTAATTTAATTCTGTTATTTCTATTATTTACAGGCTGTACTCAAGGTTTTACACAGCAATACCCAAATCCAGGACTTTCCAAACCACACATCTCCAGCCCCACGAAGGCTTTTCAAAGTTGAATTTTTTTCTATTAATAAAATAATTTTCATCCCAAGACCTCCAAGTACTGGAAAGGCTGAGCAGCTTTTGGAAAGGGCGTGGAAGGAGTGATGGGAAACAGCTGCTGCCAGGGACACTGCAGGAAAATGCTCCTTCCTCTGGGGCAAAACTGCCACAGCCCTTTGTCCTTGAGAGATTCCTGCTCCTCTGGAAAGCAGGAAAGGAGCCAAGGAAAGGATAAAAAGAGAAAAAGCCAAGAGCTGAAGGTGGGAGGTCAATGCAGAGGGAGAGATTTCGGTGAAGGCGCAGAAATTGCCACATTTGAGAAAAAATGCGGTGCTGCTGCTCCGGTGTGTTTATGGATGCTGGGAACACAAATCAGCAGTGGGKCAGGAACCAGTAAAACCAGTTCATTGTCCAGAAGGTGCTGGGAACACACAGCCCCATCACCCAGGAACAGCAGCCCCAAAAAAACCCCAAAACAGCTGGGTGCAGATCTTACTGCCAGCTTGGTTGGATTTATCCAGCTGCTGGTAGGAAGAGCCTTCTTTGTCCTAAAAAACACTGGAATGGGCATGGAAATGGGGTTTTCTGGAGGACAAAGTAGGGTTTTCTCTGAAAACAGGAGGTTTGGGGSTTTCCTTGAATTAAAAAATGAAGAAAAAAGGCAATTTGTCACTGTGTCCCTGCTGGAGCTACCTGGAATGATGGAAAGGAAAATGGAACAAGGTGCAAACTGTGGGTGGGAGATGGGGAAAGGCCAGGGAAGGAACCTGCAGATCCCTGAGGGTCACAGAGACCCTGGAATGTCCCCAAGGAGAGGGAGGAATCTGTGCTGGAGCCCTGGCAGTGCCACAGGGACTCAGAATKTGTCACCTGGGCCAGGATCTGCTGTGATCCCGAGGGTCCCACCCTAATCCAGCCTGGTTTGGGTGCTCAAACAGGAGAAAAAACCTTTCCCCCATCAGTGTCACCATCCAGGAACTGCTCCTGATTTCCCCACATTYCAYCCTGCCCAGGAAAAGAAAYCCCATGGAATTCCCTGCCCTGCAAGCTCTGCAGAGCCACAAACACCCAAAACTGTCCCCAACTTCAAAGGGACTGAAACTCCTGGGGATATTTTCTGCACAAAAGGCAGAAATCCCTTTGTGAGTGAGGGAAATCTCAAGGATTTACACCTGAGGAAGAAGGACAGAGAGCAGCTCAGCCTCCCCCAAAAAGGCCAAAAGAACAGTACATTGTGAAGCTGCAAATTGAGATTCTATCTGCAAACAAAGACCAGTTGTAAAGATCTTCATGGTAAAATGTGAACCGACCCCGGGAGATTTACAGTGATTTATCCTTTTCCTCCTGGGAGAGAACAGCGAGGTTCAGCAGAGCACGGGGAGGAGGTGGGGTTTGGGATAAGCCTCAAACAATGTCCCTGTTGAGTGTCTGCACTGGGCTGGAAGGAAAAAAAAAAATCTCTGACAAAGCAAGAAATTCTGCAAAGACAGCACTGGCTCCGAGAGCTGAGACAGGAATTAGAGAGCCACGAGCACACACAGACACCCCCTGTGCAGGGACAGCATTTTCTGAAGTTTTGGATAAAGTCCTTTAGCAAAAGGTCTGGACTGTTCCCCAAGAAATGTTCATCCCCACAAAACTTGCACCAAAAAGCCCCACTCTGGTTTAACTGTGAGTTAAAGGGTTTGGGACAAACTCCAGCGGGTTTGGAACAAACCATCTCGCTGGTTTGAGAGGATTTTATGTGTGCAGGCAGCAAACCAGCAGAAAATTGGCTTTGTTTTGCCTTTTTTTATCTCCTTTGCCAGGTGCCAGCTCCAATGTCCCTGCTGAGAGCCCAGAGTGTCCCTGGGTGACCCAAGGGTGGCCTGAGCCACCCCACAGCTGGAACAGGACGAGGGGAGATGTGCAGGRGGGGTTTGTGCAAGRATTGAGGTGATTTGGAGTGGTTTGCACACGATGATAACTTTCTGTGAGCAAAAAGCCACATTTTACAGAGATTTCCCAGTGCAACAGCACCACTGTTGTCACTCCCTGCAATCCCAAAAGGACAAATCACAGTCACTGTGTGGAAGGGGGAAAACCTTCCAGTNCCCATGGAATTCCCTGCCCTGCAAGCTCTGCAGAGCCACAAACACCCAAAACTGTCCCCAACTTCAAAGGGACTGAAACTCCTGGGGATATTTTCTGCACAAAAGGCAGAAATCCCTTTGTGAGTGAGGGAAATCTCAAGGATTTACACCTGAGGAAGAAGGACAGAGAGCAGCTCAGCCTCCCCCAAAAAGGCCAAAAGAACAGTACATTGTGAAGCTGCAAATTGAGATTCTATCTGCAAACAAAGACCAGTTGTAAAGATCTTCATGGTAAAATGTGAACCGACCCCGGGAGATTTACAGTGATTTATCCTTTTCCTCCTGGGAGAGAACAGCGAGGTTCAGCAGAGCACGGGGAGGAGGTGGGGTTTGGGATAAGCCTCAAACAATGTCCCTGTTGAGTGTCTGCACTGGGCTGGAAGGAAAAAAAAAAATCTCTGACAAAGCAAGAAATTCTGCAAAGACAGCACTGGCTCCGAGAGCTGAGACAGGAATTAGAGAGCCACGAGCACACACAGACACCCCCTGTGCAGGGACAGCATTTTCTGAAGTTTTGGATAAAGTCCTTTAGCAAAAGGTCTGGACTGTTCCCCAAGAAATGTTCATCCCCACAAAACTTGCACCAAAAAGCCCCACTCTGGTTTAACTGTGAGTTAAAGGGTTTGGGACAAACTCCAGCGGGTTTGGAACAAACCATCTCGCTGGTTTGAGAGGATTTTATGTGTGCAGGCAGCAAACCAGCAGAAAATTGGCTTTGTTTTGCCTTTTTTTATCTCCTTTGCCAGGTGCCAGCTCCAATGTCCCTGCTGAGAGCCCAGAGTGTCCCTGGGTGACCCAAGGGTGGCCTGAGCCACCCCACAGCTGGAACAGGACGAGGGGAGATGTGCAGGRGGGGTTTGTGCAAGRATTGAGGTGATTTGGAGTGGTTTGCACACGATGATAACTTTCTGTGAGCAAAAAGCCACATTTTACAGAGATTTCCCAGTGCAACAGCACCACTGTTGTCACTCCCTGCAATCCCAAAAGGACAAATCACAGTCACTGTGTGGAAGGGGGAAAACCTTCCAGTGATTTCAGAACATGAAATAAAGCCTGATAGAAAATCCCACAAACAAAACAGCGACACAAATATAAAAACCCCCACAAACAAAACAGCGATAGAGATATAAAACCCCACAAATAAAACAGCGACAAGAGATATAAAATCCCACAAATAAAAGACAGAGATAAAAAATCCCACAAATAAAACAGCGACAGAGATAAAAAATCCCCCAAATAAAACAGCGACAGAGATATAAAAACCCCACAAATAAAACAGTGACACAAATATAAAATTGCACAAATAAAACAGCGACAGAGATAAAAAAAAACACAAACAAAGCAGTGACACAAATATAAAAAACCCCACAAATAAAACAGCGACAGAGATATAAAACCCCACAAATAAAATCCAAAGCTGGCAACACCCCAGGGAGAACAGGGGGTGGTTTGCAGAGCCCTGGAGCAGCAGAGGGTCTGTACTCACCCTTGGCCAGCTGCACGAAGCCCAGGATGATGATGAGTGCCAGTGCCAGCAGCTTGGCAGCAGCGAAGGCGTCCTGRACACGCGTGGCAGCCTTGACACTGTAGCAGTTGACAGCCGTGAGCAGCACTGAGGGGACACAGGGGACAGYGTCAGCACAAGAAAAAAGCACCCAGCAGGCTTTAGGTGGGGTGGTGGGAAGGAATTCCTCTGCAGGAGGATGCTGGAGATTCCTGGGGCAGTGGGAGGTGTCCCTGCCATGGAGGGGTGGCACTGGATGATCTCTAAGCTCCCCAAAATATTCAGTGATTCCCCAATTTCCTTTTTCCTAAAACACAACCAGCTATGGGATGATCTCCAAGTTCCCCAAAACATTCAGTGATTCCCCAATTTCCTTTTTCCTAAAACACAA